GTAATTGTACTTTTTATTTCAGTTATTTGCCAAGGCAAATCGTTTTTTAAGTTTATGTTGTGCATCTTACGTTTATATTTCGTTTTATTTCAGATTAATTTCAATTACTGCAAAGGATTTTTAATACTTTTAATTGGAGTTAACAACAACAAAATGACCAAAAATAAATAAATAAAACTAAATTTAGTCCATACCACTTGTATTCCAAGTCTTCTGAGAAGAGATCGGAAGTTTAATCTTTATTGCTTGAAAACATTAATATATGTAGCAGCTCTTAAATCTCATTTGCACTTGGGCATATTTAAAATGGGCACATCAAGACAAGTTACACTAGGTTTGACGTTGAAAGAAACGATTTTTAGGGAATAACAATTTTCATGAAAAACAGCAGGCAAGATATTCTGCAAGGAAGAAAGAACAATTTGAGGGAGAATAATTGATAATATTTTTCTTCTCGTCTTATCATTCTCTGCTTTTATTTAGTAATAATGCATAAGAGCGAAGCTAGTAAAGCTCAAAATCATCCTGTGTATCAGTGGTATCGGTGTCGAGTTCAGAGTCCATGTCCCTGTCCTTGGTTCTGAAGTCCTTCCGTTCATTCAGCTGCGCTTCTCAGATGACCTTGTGCGAGCTCCTAAAGGTGGGGCTTTTTTCATCACTGAAAAGGTTTTGTTAAAGTCATTTTCTGCTATCTTCCTGAATCATGTCTGTTTCTGCCTGGGCCTTTGCCTCTGTCTTTTTAGGCCCCAATTATGGTATGATATCACCGAGTGAATCATAAAAACAAATTGTGTGTTAGGGATAACTGTTTAAAAGCTCTCTCTCTCAAACACACATTAGCTGTCATACGGGATGAAAATGAGTTCTGACACCTCAGCTTTTCCAATAAAGACCCCCACACTTTTTTTTTTTCATTGTTGGCATATAAATTGGGCAAGTCTGAGCACGTCTTTGCTTCTGGAGTATTTGAGGCTGCGCTTCTTAGATTTTACCCTTAGAGTTAGCGAGCGAGTCTAAACACGGCCCGAAGCCAGTGCGTCCTTCCTCTCAAAATGACAAAACACACACAACTGCTGAGATTTCATACAAATGCGCAGGCACTGCAGACTGAATGCAAAAATGTGTTCATTTTTAAATATAAAACCGATTGACCCATCATCATTCTTCTGGTTTGGTTCTGTCTTATTCGCTATGAACTTAAACTGATAGTTCACGCAGAAATTAAAAATCATGCTGTTAATTTCTTGTTATTCCAAACCGTAAGAATTTCTTTCTTGCATAGAACACAACAAAGAAATTTAGCAGATTGTCCGAACTGTTTTTTATTTTTATTTTTTTCCCGTGCAGTGAAAGTGGATGGGACTAGAGGCAGCTGTTCACTTTCATTGTGTGGAAAAAGAGCATCTTGGACATTCTACAAAATTTATCAGTTGCATCATCCATAATATATTATTTACTTATACATTTCCCTATGCAATTTTAACCTAAACTTTTAATGTAATTTTAACATCAAATGTTGAATTTAGAGTTTGACATTAAACTGAAACATGCAAAGCAAAATGGTTTTCCCTTTACAGTTTAGAAAGAAATGTTACATTTTGTTACAATACAATTTGGAAAGAAATGTTTCTTTGGGTTCTTAAGTTGAATTTGAACAAAACAAGAATTGTTTTAAGAAAAAAAGGTCTGTCCCTCCTTGTAAAGAATACTTGTTTCCACATGTCAGCAAACAGCAGCCAACTCCAAAGTACAGCCCTCCAAAAATATGGAAATCATTTATACTCTGAGCTCAGGTGATTTTTGGGAAAACATCTGGCATTGTCCATACAATAAAAGTCAATGGGGTCCAAAACAACAGTGGACATTGGACATTTTTCAAAATATCTTCTTTTGTGTTCCACAGTACAAATTCATACAGGAATGGCATGAGACTGAATAAATGATGACAGAAATTTTATTTTTGGTTGAAAAAACTCCATCGTGGCTCCTAAAAGAACAACCTCTGAGGAAAAAAAATCCTCTTCGTTCATTTTAACTGTCTATGCTATTTATGTTTTTTCTAACTTTTATTTTATTGACGGCAATATGATTTTTCTTGCTCAAAGAACTTTTAAATATTTTTTTTTTCTTTCTCTCATTTCTGTTTCTCCCAGCGTGTATTGGGAGGAACAGTGGAGCAGTAGCGTATGTGATGCTGGCTGCAATTTCACAGCCGTTAGCATAGGCAGCACATTTGTGAATTTATTGACGGAGATGGGGAGTTGGCTGAATTTGCGGGTGGCATGCTGAAACATGTCCATCAGGCTGTCAGACTCGTCATTATCACTTAAGCCACCGAGCCTGCCCAAACGTGCGCCTTTCCAATGCTCACCTTCCTCCAGCCCATCATCTTATTCCACCTTACAACACTTACACTGTGTCTACACTGCAGGCGAGCGATGCAGCGCTGCCAGTGTAATCAAGCAAGCCGTCTACGAACCAAATGCGTGTTTCCTGCTCCGTTTCGCGTGCTTGCAGTATATTGTTTAAAAAATATTAAATATTATATTATACATATATATATGTATAAAAGTTCTTCCGTGGTTGTTGGCAGCATCATAGAGATGCTTTGCAAGGATGTAGAGGAAGAATGTTTCATGTGGAAAATTGTTTTAAATTGTTACAAATAAAAAAGTTATTTGTGGCATTTAAGGTTCCACGAAGAACCTTTAACATCCATGCAACCTTTCCACTGCACAAAATGTTCTTTATAGTGGAAAATGGTTCTTCTGAATATCAAAATGTTCTTCACACTAAAAAAAAATTTTATTTTAAGAACTGGTAACTGAAAGGTTCTTTTGAGATTGTTCTTCTGTGGCATCATTGCAAAAACCCTCTTTTGGAACCTTATTTATTTATTCACTAATGGAGCTCTTTCTGTTCCTGTGTGCTGTCAACACTTTAATGTCCTTATCTTTCAAGCCATTTTTGAATTAATTAAAATTATTTCAACCAAATAATAATTTCAACTGAAGTTCAGCTAAATGGTGAGTAGATGGATTGAGTGTGAAACAGTGGCAGGGTGATGTGAGTAAGGGTGTGAGTGTCAGATGGGCGTGTTGAGACGTCTGCCTGTGCTCACACATCTGCACCCTATGATTTATGCTGCTCTCCCCTGTCTGTGTGTGTGTGTTACTCTTTTACAAAATCTCTCAGTGAAAGTGTGTGAGGAAGTCCTGCTGATGTTCTTACAGTAAAATAAATATATAGTTCAGTCATGAAACTCTAGATGGCGCATTCTGATGGGTAGTTAACTGATGATATTCAGAGAGTTAAACGACTTGGCACAAGCTGATTGGTTCATGCTGCATATGCAGCCAATGAGCTTACTGCCTTGCATTTATATGGCTGGCTAGCATTCACTAGAGATTCCTGCAGCGCGCTTTCAGAGTTCCTCTGAAACCCTCCACCTTCCCCAGCTCCACCTGTATAGATCTGCTACGGGTTATTTTATATGCTATTTGTGCAGCAGCAGTATGTCTTAAATACTCACGGCACCGTATCGCCATATGCATTGGCAGTAGCAAGTTCCTGTACTTGCTTGCAGCAGCAGCAATAATCTTCTACTACAGCAATAACCAACAGCAGCAGCTATTCAGCAGCAGCGTAGCAGATCTATTCCGCCAAGACCAAATACATTAACATTGTCATGTACATTACCATGCTAAAATCTTCCGAGAGTTGTCATGATTGAACTACAGTTAAACACTATATACACAGAAAAAACTCAATTACACCACTTTTACTATTGATTGATGAGATCAGCAGGGAAATCAAAATCACTTTGAGGTGTTTTTGTTGTTGTTGTTTTTTTTTGGAAATTGTAAACAAAGAAACAGATGTAAATGATGAAACATTCGTAATGATAACTCAACACTAATAATGCTATGCGTTTATCAGAGTGTTGCTATGTGTTCGCTAGGGTGTTCTGAGTGGTTGCTAACTGAGTCATAGTCTCTGTGATATTCTTACTCTAAGTATGGCTCACGTCCCTCAAATAATATCGTAATATATTATGATATTTACTGTAATATTATGAGATTATCAGTTTGTCATCCACCATGTGAAATTGGCAGATCTAAACTGAACTGGACTATATTTTTAAATAAAATTACGCTAATGTAATGTTTCTGTAGTGGCATATTAGAAAGTGAGTTTTGAAATAGTGAGTAAGAAAATTATATTGCTCTAAATTATTTTAAAAAGATATATTGATATTTTTGGAGTTGCTTTTTGTCACATTGTACCTGCAACTATTTGTTGACATTAATTTTAATCTTTTGTGTAATGTTTGACTGCTTATCATATTTCTTGTTTGCTTCTCCAAAGATAGATAGATAGACAGACAGAAATAAATAGATCTTAAAAAATTATAAACAACTTAATTTAAGCTTTAATAATTCCAAATAGTCTTTAATATTTCCTGCTTTCCTTTAGATTCAGTCAGCTATTTTGGTTTTGCATTTAGGTATTTAATTCTGACGCTTAATTTAATTCTGGTCAGATGTCACTTGTACTACTTAAGTTAGACAATGATATAATGAAGTTTTCATGAGCTTTATTTTGTGGGAATCATTTATGTTTGTATAAAGTGTGATTGCAACATCAGCAAACAGTGTTTATGATATTTATTATGTTGCAGCACCTGGCGTAAAATCTCCCTCTCATAAAATCTGAATCACATTAATACAAGTCCGCACAAAGCAGGCTTGTACATTTGGTTTTTGAGGGAATATTTGGGATGTCTTTATAGATTTAGACAAGCTCTGACATGCTTATGAGTGTGTGTGTGTGTGTGTGTGTGTGTGTGTGTGTGTGTGTGTGTGTGAGAGAGACCTCATCAGATGATGATGAACTTGTCTTCATCTATAAAGAAGCATATTTTTAAAGTGTGGTTATTTAGTGTGATTCAATGTGTAAGCATATTTCAAATGCTTATTTCTGTTTGTTTTTTCCTGCAGTACTCTCCACTGCTTAAGAAGCTGTATTGTCAGATCGCCAAGACCTGTCCGATTCAGATCAAACTGGCTTCCTCGCCCCCAAACGGCGGTGTGATTCGAGCCATGCCCATCTACAAGAAGGCCGAACATGTCACAGAGGTGGTCAAACGTTGTCCTAACCATGAACTCGGACGGGACTTCAATGAAAGTATGTCAAATTCATTATTTTTTGATAAATAAAGTTTATCAAGACATTAGAACATTTTTTAAAAATAAATACATACAATAATAATAATATAAGTTTTATAAGTTTATTATAAGTAATATAAGTTTTTCCTTCCAGAGTCATTCCCAGTCATAAAACATTTAAACGGCAGCAGATTTAAAAACAGTTTTACATCAGTAGAATTTATTGTTTATTTGTTATTTTGTTATAACAAAATAAAATGTGCTTAATGTAGTAACATTTTCATGAACTGTTTTTATTAAAGGGGTCATATGATGCGATTGAAATTTTTTTTTCTTTGAAGTGTTACAAGCTCTTGGTGCATAAAGAAGATCTGTAAAGTTGCAAAGACTAAAGTCTCAAATCCAAAGAGATATTCTTTGTAAAAGTTAAGAGTCAGCCACGCCTACCTAAAACGGCTCGTTCTAACACGCCCCCACATGTCTACATCACGATGTGGGAAGATTTGCATAACACCGCCCAAATGTTCACGCAAAGAAAGAAGGCGTAACTTTTATTCTCGCTGTAGTATTGTTGCCGCCGCTGCCATGTCGTGATGGCGCTGTGTGTTTCGTTGTGAAAGCGAAACTACTTTGTTTGGTCTTCCAAAAGAGGACGATATCTGCTTCGGGCATAGAAGAGAAACAATAATGTACAGTATATTAATATTAATATTAATTATTAATATTACCTAACCTGATAACACAAGGTTACATAAACAAAAGTCATTTTTAAGTGTTAGATCATGTAGGAAAAAAAAAAACGTAAAAAATTCAGGTTACAACTTTTTAAAGTGTACTTTAATAAATTGTAAAACTTGTGAAACCAACAGTTATAGATACATGTATCTATTTTAGGATCTGAACATGCATGCAGCAAAATATAACATTTCAGAACTAGTGAACTGCTATATAATAATAGTCTGTTTCTAGATAAGAACAAAATATGGTTACACTTTATTTTATGGTGTCCTTGTTACAGTGTAATTATACATTTAAGTGCTGAGTAATATTAATTAACTACATGTACTTACTGTATGCTTAGGGTTAGGATTAGGGTTTGGCTTAGGGTTACTTGCATGTAATTATGCATAATTAATTGTTATTATAATAGTATGTACATGTAACATGTGTAACAAGGACACCTTAAAGGGGTCATAGGATGCTACATGCACTTTTACAAGTTGTTTGAACTGAAATGTGTGTTGGCAGTGTGTGTA